TGAATAAAGTAACAAGTATTACTACATTGTCTACTGTTAACCTCATGATAAAAACAACAGTGCCTTCCAGACACCTCAGAGATCTAGAAAAAGTCATATGGCCATGACCACATTCCCTCTGCCTGAGCATTTTTCCGTGTATAGGGAGGGACTCGAGCTCAGTGGAAGAGGATGTGTTTGTGTTTGGTGTTGGGAATCTGCTCTCGGCTCTTCAGTCTCCTGACGGCTTCTCTCATGTGTTTGGGCTGCAGAGGTGGCGTGTCTCCCCACTTCTCACACACATCAAGAGCTGCAAGAGAAAAAAGAAAAAAAAAACCATTATGACGACAATAAATGAGGTACCAGTTTCTATCTAAATCATACTTCAGTGTCGTACAAACCTTCCTCAACAATCTCCCCAGCAAACACCTTCGAAATTCCAGACATGGCGATGACCACATTTTGAGAGACGGATGATCCGGTGATGGACTGAACTAGCTGGAAGACAGGAACAAGCTTTTTCAACAACTTAAGTTTCAACTGTTTTATATATAATTCCAACACCTTGTGGTATACTTAGATCTAATAAATGTTTACAGGATTCCCATTAGAACTTATCATCATCATTTGGAACCAAACCTAAAGGATCCTAATAAAAATGTGTGTATTAATGTATTAGAAATGTTTAATTCCTATCCACAAGTTTCCTACGTCCCATGAGGCCTTGCGTCAAAAGTGGGCGCGACTTCCGGTTCGAAGTAAACAAAGCGCGATTTGACATGCTTCACACTCGTTCATTCAACAGTTGACAGTCATTTAAGTTATAGCGATCCAAACTAGCTAACGATGTGGGAACACAACCTCAACGGAATTAAAAAAGGTGAAATAATAGTACCTTTACCCTCCGCAGTAGTTGATTGGGAGTATTATAATAACATTAATAATAATCAATACTCATCAAGGCATGGTGACAGACAGTTGTGCGAGCTGACAAACAATTAAAATAAAAAATACACACTTAGTCATTGTGCTTTGGAGTTTATTCAAAATTATAAATGAATGTGCTACTTGAATACATTAACTGGCACATTTGGTATTCTGTCAACTCAGGCTCTGATCCTGAGTTTAGGTGTAACATCAGTAGCGAACAGCCAATCACATGCTGAGAGAGTTTATAGAATATTAAGAATTTAAACAAATGTACACAGGAAGATTCGTCGTCTTTTGGGAGGTGATGGAAACTACAGTGGTTGGCAGGATCACTGTGATTTCGTTTTCAGCTTATGTTCAAAACAATCACGTTTAAGCCACTGAATTAGTTTAGTCCGGTTATACATACAACCGCGAACAGCACATATTGTCCCTGAGCTCCGTAACGACATCTCTCATAAAGATTTGCGTCTTTAAATAGTAAAATAATTCTCAAAAAAACAGCTAGCCTCTTCGCTAACTAACACACAAAATACCATTGGAATGCTACTTCCGCCACCTCACCGGAAGTTTCACCCACTTTATTTTTTACAGGAGCACCCCTCGGAAACTTGTGGATAATAACTGTACAACAATGGTTTTCTTTAATTGTCCAGTACCATTAAATTACTTCTGTACAAGCACTGTACGGTAACATTTACTATATTATGCAATATATTCAAAAAATGAAATAAAAATCTTTTTTTGATAAAAAGGGACTCTCATTTGATCAAATTAGGTTGTTTTAAAGTTGGTCCAATGATTATTTCCGAATTAAAGCTTGCACACATTTCTCAAGGATTTCCTGACTTATCCAATGGATGTCCGCAAACTAGCCCGATGGCCAATCAAAAATAGTCAAACATGATTTTGTGGGGTTTTGGAGTGCCGAAATTGTACGTCTGACCTTCAACCCGCGGCAACAATTCAAAAGTAGCCCAATTCCAGAGGAAGAAAAAAAAAAAAACTCGGACGGACAAACACCGACTCCTCCACTTACTCTCTTTATAGCTGCCTTTGGGAAAGCTGAGCGTCTGTACATCTCATAGCGGTTCAGCTGTTCTTCAGAGAATGACGATACTAAAACTCTGGAACAAAAATGTGGAGTATCAGTTTGTGCAATCTATCAGAGGCAGGTTTATAGGTAAGTTTTGCACATTAATACAGTAAATCAGCATGCAGCACAATGAATGACAAATAAAACTCACTGCATCTTTTGTATTTCATCTTCATCAACTTTTTGCCGTTTCTCCTTTTTCTTGTCTTGCTCCAATTTCAGTTTTTTAGCAGGAGAGGGGTGAAGAGAAGATCCCTCTTCCTCATCATCACCAGCAGCAGCAGCAGCGTCTTCAGACCTCTAAAACAGGAATCAGATAAAACATGAATTAATACATTTCTATCATATCATTTCTAGTGTCTCTAGGTGAGAAGTGGACGGACCGCTTTGCCCTCCTCTTTCGGTCTGCTGTGCCCCGCAGCGTGTTCTTTGGAGACCCCGCCGCTCGCCGGAGCGTCCCCGGACCCCAGGCTCTTCTGCTGGGGTCTGTCCTCAGGCTTCACTCGGTCCGGATCTGCCATGCTTCGGCTGAGCTGAGGCAGAAGAAGAAGAAATATAACTTACCCATTTTATGGTGTTTAGATATGGTAGTGAATGATGATGATTATAATTTTTTTTCATAATATAATATGGTTTTACATAAGACAATGTGATAATCATGTTAATTGTGTGCATTAGACTGGGACCGAATCTGACAACATTTACACAAAAAAGGCGGTGTGTGTAAATAAACATTGCAAAATAGATATAAACACAGATTTCTTCTAATAACATAACATTACCTCAGGCCGACCGCAGGGTTGATAATAGTTTTATAAACACAGAATCGAGGAACTGTTTGTTTTACGCTCTACACTCCAGACCAGCTCCAGACTGAACTCATTCTCTAACAGTCATGACAATTTCCGGTCAATTTCATAATAAGAGTGTTAGTTTCCATGTTAGTTTCTATCACTGGGTGGCGCACTTTGCTAGATAATGAGGAAAAGCAGCTTTGCACAGACAGAGGAATGGCCCACTGAAACGCATTCATATCCTAACCTACTGTCTAAATGGAGGCATTTGTTTTTTGCTTATTATTATCGTTACTACTTCCAATGACATGCTTAAGCATTTTTTAATTATTTAAATAAACAAAAACATAAACACAGACAGACGTTTGTGATTGTGCCATCCTGACCAGCGCTGAGAAAAGTAACAAATTGCCACGTGACACACAATTTGATTATTTCTTCATAAGGAGCGTGACACTGGTGCGGACACTATTTCACATAGACTTTAAAATAATAATAATAATAATAATAATAATAATAATATATTACACACTTTTGTTATTATTTAGATCCAAGTCATATATGTTGCTTGCATGTATGCCTCTTTAAACACCTCTGCATTTAATCTGTGCAATCTATGCTTTTAAGACAAGGGAATTTATGTCTGAAATTAATTTATTTACAAAAAATACATATTTTGTAAATTATAGAAATTAATTTAATTAAAGTGTTGCTTTTTAAATGAAATTTCAAGTAGTAAATCTGTATTCAAAATATCGGTTTCACATTATTTGGATGGTCCCTTTTAACGTTGCACCTACATCTAACTCTCAGTGTTAGAAGAGGATTTGACTGGTAGGGTTAGGGATAGAATAAATTGACATATAGTCAGTCAGTATAATGTCTGTTGGGGGAGCATCACAATAAAGATTGGCAGATATTAAGCAGAGTTGGTTGGCATGTAGTTGCAAAATTACTTAGTCAACAGAATAGGCCAACAACAGAAGCATAAGAGTCAAGAACATGCTAGAAAATCAAAGACTGCAAATCCCAATGCTCAAAATAATTAATCGGTTTGAGTAGGGTAAACGTAAATTAAACAAATTAGTTAACTTAAAAAGTTTTCTGAGTGTTTCAGTGTTTTGAGATTCATCAACTTGTTCCTTTTAACTTAAACAAACTTAAATTTAACTGAAACTGGGCTGGGATTCCCATTTCCTAGCATGCCTTGTCATGACACTTGAAAGGGAGAACATGCTCAAATTAAGTGTTATAAAATGTTTTGTGTGTGTGTGTGTGCAATATTAATGTTTATGATTTTGTATTATTTTATGTTTAGGTATGCTAACTTAGAAAATTTTCTGTTTTGTGTGTTTTTTGAAGGGCTTCATGTTAAATGTTCTATATTGCCCTACTTATTCAGCGATAGTTATGCTATGTTTTGGCTACCAATGCATTAAAAAGCAAGTTACATTAAAGCTATGCTACTGTGTTTCCACTAGCCTACAAAAAATATTTAAGTAAGATATTCCATGATAATTCGAAGTGAAATGTACCTAACTCAAATATTTAAAGTTAACGTATGAACTCAAAATAAAAATCTGCCAGTTCTGCTTACTTTTTCCTAATTTAAAAAAAAAAACAAAAAACGTTGATGTAACTGATTGGCTTTTGTGTGTGTGTGTGTGTGTGTGTGTCTTGCCAACTTATTCAGGTTTACAGTAATAAATACATTTTTTAGAAAAAAATCAGTTTAAAGTTACATTAATGCAATTCTAAAAATTAATATCTTGTGATGCACAATGAGCTTGATGCGGGTACTCATTTTATCATCCGAACATTAAATATAACGCTAAAATAGCTATAATATTATTTAATTGCCCTATAGAAAGAAAAAAAATATCTGAATGGAATTCATAATGGATTGTTATATCCATCAGTCCCGTTGCTGTTCATAACGATCCACTTTGTAAGAGACTCTTCTGATAATTTCTCAAATGAAGTAACGTTAATTTTCCACGAACCCCTGATACATTGTCACGGTTTCTTCTTCCACTAATGTCATGATGTAAGGATAAGCGACCAAACGAGGGGTTTCACATAATGCAATCCATCGATTTCAATTCCCTAAATGCCGTTCCACCATCATTAGTGTAATTAAATGATTGTGCATAATTCCGAGCCTTCGCGACGTCACCAAGGAGCGCGCCCGTCTAGGAAGTGACGTGTCGAGCCGTTGCCAAAGGAAGTTTGTGCGGGCGCTGGGAGAGAAAGTTTCCCCGGAGCTGGAGAGATTGGAGCGGGAATAACCCTGACACAGCCGCCGCTGGTGGACCGAGCGGAGCGGAGCGGGAAGAGAGCGCGTCGGGGCGTCGGAGAGGCTGCCGTGGGTCCGTGTGGCCGACCGTGTGATCGTTCCTCCGCCGCTGGTGTGAGTGTGTGTTTGTGTGTGTGAGATGGGGAAGGAGCAGGAGCTGCTGGAGGCGGCGCGCACCGGGAATCTACCCGCCGTCGAGAAGCTGCTGTCCGGGAAGAGACAGTCGGCCGGGTCGGCCGCCGCGAGCGGCGCTGGATCCTCCGGGAATACCGGGAGCGGCGGGCACAGCTCTTCCCACACGCTCTCCAGTCTGCTCAGGTGAGAGAAAACCACGGAGGCTCAACGTTAACGTTATCTCTACAGGAGACCGAGCGAGCAACCGGGGCTATAGTTGTCACTCCAGGGATTGTTTTCACAGTTGGTTTATTGTTTTATTTAAGTCGTAGACACAAACAATGAAGTCCTAACCAAACAAGTAACTTAGCATTTCCCATTGGGAAACAAAAAGATAATTGAAGGCTCTATAACACTGTGTTGTGTTGTCTAGAGTGGGGCATGTTGTCACACAGTTTGGGATAGAGCTTGTCACCAACTCCACTGATTTGAGGTTATGAATAACTTAATTTGAAATCTAAAATGCTTTCTAAATCAAAAAAGACTGTCTCTTACAGCATTTCCATTTAAAACACACGTGACAACTTTTCCCAGCCATGACGTTCATGATTTTTCACGTTATGTTTCATAAGACCCCTTGTATGTCTGTGTGTTTTTATTGTGCTCACTTGGTAGGCTACCGAACCACACAAATTATGATATTAGAGTTTGCAGAACAAAATTCTTAAAAAAAAAAGTTTAATTAAGGCTGGAACATTTTTTGACCTAAAACCTTACAGTTTTTCCCTTGTTTTCTTGGAAACAGTTGAATTGGAAAGTATCTCAAGGAATCATCATCTTTCAAAGATCCCTGCCAGTTCTTTCTCAACATAAACATGATGTTGTTCCTCTTTATGTCATAAAAGCATGAGTAACATGCGTCATCATCCCTGCTATTACGAAGCAAAATGTAGTGATCCAGAACATTCCTGCTGGATGTGATTTGCACATGTATTTACAACGTAGATGTGTGTGAGATAGAAATGTAAATTATTCTCAGTGTAGTGTGTGAATAGAGAGCTGTTCACATTTGCATGCACTTGAGCTGCCTCTTCATTTCTTACGCTTTTCAAAGTCCAGACTCCTCTAGTCTGAATAATGTTTGGGCAATTTCACATGTTGCGCTATAACATGGTTACATATCTGTCTCTTTGAAGAGAGAGAGACTGTTTGGTTTCTTGGATTGTGCCGGATTAAGTTTTGCCAACAAAATAACTTTTATTTAGTGTAAATACAAATGTCGTTTATGTCTTAAAAGCGTTGTTTTTGAAGGGTGTGCATGTGCTGTACTACATAAGAACGAGCCTATGATTGAATCTGGAAATAAAGCAAAATAACGGAGAAAAATGACAAACAGTCCTCAGATGGCATGTCTGTAATTTATAACAAAACATCTAGCATTAATTCGATTTCTAACAGATTCATTAAAATAGTTATTACTCCGCCACCTGTGCGAAATCATTAACCAACGTGGTTGAACGACTAAGTTTAGGGAAACGGTTGTGACTAGCTAGTATTGGTTGAACAGGAAACACACCCCAGATATGGCGAATAATAATTCAAATTCACTTCTCATTATGAGCTTTTGCTGTTAGTTTTCCACTAGCATTTTGAGGTCATCACACTCTTAGAAGAAATGGTTCTATTTAGAACCAGAAATAGTTCCATCCCCCGCTTCATACATGGAACTCCCATTTTTTTTTGGTAAAAGGTTCTATTGGCAAACAATGGAACCCCAGGGTTCTATATAGAAATCAGAGGAACCCTTTTTTTAAAGGGATACTCCACCGGGTTTTATTCCCTTAATTAAGACGAGCTGATGCATACCTCTCTCGTCTCAGTGCGTGCACTCTATCGCTCTGTATTGCCGCAAAACTATGTTAGCACTTAGCTTAGCCCAGTGCATTAAATATGGGCCAAAAAGAGAAGCGACAAAACACTTCCTCGTTTTCCCTATTTAAACACAGTTACTCGATTAGTGTAACTCGACCTAGGCTGGTGACACAAAATAAAACGTTGTGTTTTTCTAAGCGTTTAAAATTGATGACTATATTGTATGGCGAAATACCATAAAAAAGTGCTTTAGAGCACTTCAACTTGGCACAATAATACCTTCACTCGTGAAAAGTCCTCTTACCGGCTCCCGCTTCCTCGCTCTCCCCCTCCCTCTTATTTCCGTCAATGCAGCCAACGTGACATACGACAAAGCGGGAGGACTTTTCACGAGTGAAGGTATTATTGCGCCAAGTTGAAGTACTTTTTTATGGTATGATATTCATCAATTTTAAACGCTTAGAAAAACACAACGTTTTATTTTGTGTCACCAGCCTAGGTCAAGTTACACTAATCGAGTAACTGTGTTTAAATAGGGAAAACGAGGAAGTATTTTGTTGCTTCTCTTTTTGTCCCATATTTAATGCACTGGGCTAAGCTAAGTGCTAACATAGTTTTGCGGCAATACAGAGCGATATAGTGCATGCACTGAGACGAGAGAGGTATGCATCAGCTCGTTTTAATTAAGGGAATAACATAGTTTAATATGAAAACCCGGTGGAGTATCCCTTTAAGAGTGTATAGAAGCATTTAGGGGTTCTAAATACGTAGCGCTGATAGAACCTTTTCTTCTAAGATATCTATCCATCTGGTGTCACACACACGCACAGGATCTACCTATTCCATGTGCAAACTGATCAACTATAGGCTACATTCATAGAGTCCAGATATCATGCCATCCACCCGTTCTCCCCGTCAAAGCTCTTTGTGTCCGCTGGCATCAGTGTGTGTCTCTGGCTCAGTGGATCAATGTCTGGCAGTGCTCTATGGTGAGAAAGACCGGCTCAGCGTGTGTCGGAGGGAAATAAACGGATGATCGGCTGGAACTGGTGCCAGCAGGAGAAGAATAAAAGGGTCCAAACCATCTCTCTCTCTCTCTCTCTCTCTCTCCTCCTGCTCACAGGCCAACGATCTTTAAGAGCATCAATCTGTATTTACTTCCCAGAGACGCAGTTATCGGCAGGTGTTAAAGGGAGTGCTGTGTTTGCGTGCAGCTTGTCATCTGGCGTGTGTAATGGACATGTCAATAGTATTATGTGGTGCGAGTGTGTGTCTTACTCTGCTTGTGTGTACATTGTCATTCCTTGCCGTCAGATTTGCCTCGTTTGGAGCGAGCAGTCTTCACAAATCTGTAATTATTAACAAGGCCAGTTCCACATTTTAGCAATGATTTCATGTGCCTCTATCGACACTTTTGAGAAAGTCTAAACGTAATTCACTGTAGTTTCCTGATGAAATGAACATAAGTTTTACATAAGTTATGATTGCAGGGCCAGATTATCGATTAATGTAGTTTTCAAAACATTTTACACAGTGCATAATTTGTAAACTAATACATTTTGATGTTTGCTTCACATAATCCACTCCATATGTCTGGCTTTTGCTCCGTATCTTGCTCATCGTACGGAAAAGAGGACCTTAGAAAGAGGATATTCTTTAGTAAATATTCAATATTTGAGTTTCATGGTAGAATTGTAATTTGTATTATTGATTATGATTTTTACCCCTATCTAGCGGTGAAAAGGTATATGACCATCCAGTGAATATTAGTTTCTGTTCCTCTCAATTCCGATTTCGTTTTAACTAGGGATGCACGATATATATCGGCCAGAATATCGGTATCGGCCGATATATGTTCATTTTTAATGTTATCGGCATGGTAAGAAAGTGTGGCTGATATATTAAAGCTGATAAATAATGTATTATTCCCTTCAGCTGAGACACTTGTTGAGCACTGTTTATGTTTTTGAATTTCTTGAAATATGATTGAAATCTCTTCAAAAATAGAAAATACGGTCCGGTACAACATGCGAAGCGTAAATCTGTCATATCGGCTATACAACACTATAATGAGAACATCATTATAATTGTGCGCTTGATTAATTGTGAGACTTTTGTAATTGTAATCAGTCTCTCAAAATTAGATAAAAATTTAGATTTTAAGTTTATCGGCCGATATATCGGTTATCGGCTTTCAAATATAAAGAATTATCGGTATCGGCCAAAATTTTCATATCGGTGCATCCCTAGTTTTAACTCCTACGGTGGCCAATGTAGTCCAAGATTAACATGGCTTCGACCTAGTGTTAACTCAAACGTAAACGCGAAAGGCGAAGCTTGAATTAACGGGTATGTCCCTCTTTGGTTAATGTACTTTTAAGATGGAGGGGCAACATGCCGACTGATATTAGAACCCCTTATACCCGTATCAGAAAAGGGCTTTGCCCATATGTATTTTCAATGGCATATTATACACTCACGAGAATACTTTATTACTTGAACGAAGTAAATGTACATTAATGAGCACATTTTCTTTTTTTAAAAACTAAGTGTTTTTAGCTAAGAATAAACTAACAGAGTTACAGTGTAGCTTTAAGACATGAAGATGCGTAAATGCTATAATTTTTGGACGAACTATCCATCTAGCACACCTGTGTTGTGATGGAAGGGCTGATATCTGTGCTCTGGAGGTTTCCCCATGCCTGGGAATGAAAGAAACGGCTCTTGCGCTGTGTGTTCTGTCTCTGTACTTTATGGAACGAGGCGTCCTGTTGAGACTTGTCATGTTGTTTTGAAAGGGTTTGAGTTTGAGAGTTGTTTTCTCTCCCCTTCGTGGAATGTCGCTTCAACATGGCGGCGTCTACAGTTTTGGACATGCTGCTGTATTTGCGTTTGCTCGTCTGCTTATACATATTGTGTGCACATGTTCATTTAATTCGACATCCTTTACTTCTGAGATGCTTTACACTCATCTGTCTGTTAGCCTTTTCTCTGTTTAATTTCTGGGTGTCTATCTATGACTGTTTATCTGTCTGTCTATCTATCTTTCCTTCTGCTTGTCTGTCTGTCCATCTGTTTATCCATTTTCTGTCTGTCTGTCCAGATGTTTTCCTTTTTAATGTTTATTTGTCTGTCTATTGCAGGTCTGTCCTTTTGGCTGTCTATCTATATGACTGTCTTTCTATGTGTCTTTATTTGTCCATTTGTCTGAACAAACACTGTCTGTCTTTTTATCTTTATGTGTCTGTTTATCAGTCGATCTCTGTCAATGTGTTTATACATTAATCTGTCTGCCCTCTCCATAACCTGTAACGGAACCAACGTCACATTAT